AGGTTTCATCCCCAACACCAAAAACCCCCACAGGAACAAAAAATACATGCTGCACGAGTCACTCCTCAAATAACTGCAGCTGAAAAACAACTATTTGGGAAGTTTTAAAGGGATAAAGGCAAGTTGGTTGTAGATAGGAGTCACATTCTAGTGAATGTAACCTTTATCTAATTTTCATTTATTAGAGATTTGGTGGCCATACTTGTTTAACAATCTGATCCATACAGTATCCTGAGAGGTGGTCAATATCACTATTTAACGAGACAGAATGCTCCAGTTGGCCAAATGACACAGAGTATGTAGCTGCAGATGTCTAGGAAACCTCTAATCTGGAACACAACATATGACCAAATTAATGTGAACATTAAGATTTCTTGCTGTATGGAAGGTCATCCCTTGGCAATGATTAGACTCACAAGTGGATAGTCAAATTGCTCATCTTGACAACCAATATAGACCCTAAATCCAAATCACACTGACCACTTAACAGGAATGGATTAAATGCTCTGGGCAACCATTTCTGAGTGTGAAGCAGCTGATTTAGCAGATGCATTAACGGTTACATTTCAAGCACCCGGGAAGCCTACCAAATAGCCTGGTTTTCATGGGTACTAATATAATTTAAAAACTGAAATCTTCAGATAACCCCAAAATGTTGTTTCAGCCTTTGGTTTTAATTATCCTCTTATCCCCACAATCATTTACTTGAGTTGCTCAGTAACAACCACCAAAAAAAGAGAAAAAGTAACAGCAAATTGATTCATTCACATACTTTATCTTGCTTTTTATTCTTTAAGAGAAAAGCATGATAAATCACAAATAATAGGCAACATCCAATTCTCAGAGCCACTGAGGATTTGTGATGTTTGTCAGCTCCTGGCATGATTTGATGTGGTCTGTAGTCAGTCAAACATTCTTGTGTAAAAGAATTAGTCCTGGTCAAAGGGGTAAGATTATTGGAGACAGGTTGAGTAGCTTGTCCACTGGTGCACTTTGATATTTAGGGTGATCTAATTTTTCCAGTTTTTCCCCCATATTCTCTTGTGTTTGCAAGTGAAATACTGAGTGCTCTTTCTTCCCTTGGGCCCAATAACAAATATAAAACACATTGTTCTGATTCTTTTTTGTGCTACTATAACAGAATACCTGAAGTCAGCTAATTAATGAAGAACAGAGATGTATTTCTGATAGTTCTGGAGGCTGAAAAATCCTAGGCCAAGGGTTTATTGCTGGCAGGTCCTCCTTGCTCCATCATCCCACTAAAGAATGTGAGAGAGCAGGAGCATGTGTGCCTGAGGGAAAAAGAGAAGGGGGTGCAAACTCACCCTTTTATTAGGAACCCCTTCCTGCAATAGCAGCGTTAGACCATTCATGAGGGTGGAACCATCAAGACTTAATCATCCTGTGAAGGTCCTACTGTTGCACTGATGATTAAGTTTCCAACACATGATCCTTGGGGGACTCATTCTACTGTAGCACCCACTATTTGTGCTGTTTGGTCTGTGGAAGAGTTATAGTCCTTGATTCATGAGTGGTCCCCCAGGAACTGGTTAAAAATCAGAGCCTCATGTCCCACCCCAGACCGATTGAATCCGAACCTACATTTTTTGACAAAGTTATCTGGTGAGTCACGTGCATGTTCAAGGCTGAGGAACACAGCCCAGGCTAAGACACTTGAGTGTAAACAGTGGCTTTAATGGCATGGCTTTTGTAAGTGATACAATGATTTTAGGATAACCACTCTGAGATCCCAGGCAGGCCTCTTCCCTGGGTCTCTGTCCCCATCTGGAAAGCAAAATAATCTCTAGAGTCCCATGATTGCTTATCTATCTCTGAGCTTCCTTTTATTTCTAAAAACTGTACCTGCTTCACAACCAAGGCTGAAGGCCTATAAAAACATGGTTGGGTCCAACAGGATCCCTCTCTCAAACCCTTGCAACAAGGAAGATAAAACATCACATGAAAGAAGCAACCAGAAGCAATATTACACTAGGCTTGACTGACAGTAATATTGCATCCGTATGAGCTTATATTCTCAGGAAAAGTCACTTTGAGTCAAACAGAGCCTTTGAAAAATTAGGATGATTTCTGTCAATGAAAGGTAAGAGACTACCTTACCTAGGATTTGGGGAAGAGCATTGACCGAATGCATGGCAAAGTGGGGGGGAAACTTCTCAATAGAAAGGATAAGGCTAAATTATGGGGGATCATAATTGCCGTCATGAGAAGCTCACAAATGATGTAATGATTTGAATTAAGAAATAATATGATCAAAGAGGGACTGGAGAAAGAAGTCAGCCAGCTGGTATTCATTAGAGAGCTCAGGGCTAGAGAAACCAGTAGGAGGCTGTGGCCACAATCCAAGCTTATATCCTTTAAGAAGAAAGGGTTTTGTAAATGGCAGCTAAAGGAAGAGAGAGAAAAGGCCTAGGTGAGAACAGTATTTTGATAAATGGATCATTAGGACTTACAGACAGCTTGGTAACAGGTAAAGGAAAAGGAGAAATGTGGATAAAGAGACACTTTTATTTTTGAGGTCTACAGAAAGGGCTCCAGAGTTAGACTTGGAGTATGAATCTTGTCATCGGCCCCTTACCAGAAATGTGAACATGAAAACAACATGAATCCCTGTCCTCACTAGCAAAACATGGGTGATGCCAATGTCTTTATTTTTGGGATGAGTACATAACTTTGAACATGTAAAGCCCTATTGGACCATAAAAGTTCTGCCTATTGTATATACTTTAGAATTTGCTTCAGTAGAGTCAACTAGAGATAAACTCTCTCACCTTTGTCAGTCAGAAAATATAATTTGATCTCACTTTGGAAGATACTTTTTTCTGCATTTGGATCTTTGGACTGATATCTTTTGTCCTGGCACACTGAATATCCTGGTATTGGGTATGCAACTGAGGATCGGGCTTTCAATCTAATAACTGTTCATTGTAGATGATCTTTACTCCTGTTCTTAGGGATTCTCCTTCCTCCCTCTGGTGTTATCTGTGCCATATCTTTGAATGAGCTTTCTTTTTATTTATCCTGCTTAGGATTCATTGAATTTCCTGGACTTCAGAATTGGTCTCCCTCGGTAATTCTGAGAAATGCCCAGGCAGCATCTTTTCCTCATTATTTCTTTTATTCCTATGTAGAATTCTAATTATTTCCCCCAAGGGTCTTCATTTTTCTTTTTATGTTTTCAATTCCTTTGTCTCTTAGATTGCATCTGGTTCATTTTTTGGACCTATTGTCAGTTTATCTGTTCTGTAGTGTAACTTAGCCATTGTAATTTCCATTTAAGTTATTGCATTTAATTTCTAGAAGTTCTGTCTCATTCTTTTTCAAATGTACAATGGTGATTCCTCATAGCTTCCTATTCCTTACATATGCAGTCATCTCCCTTGTTTTATAGCATATTAGACATAGTTATTTTGCATTCTGTGACCATTTCAATATCTATGAGAATGTTACTCTGCTGCCTATTGATTCTCATTCATGCTGCTTTATCTCCTTGTGTAATTTGTGATTTTATATTTACTTTATTATCATGAAATGCTTATTTTTTCCTATGGGAATGAGTTCAGACCTGAGTTGATGACACATTCATACTCAGAGAAGCCACAGTGCTTCTGCCAGTTCTCTGGAGCCATTGGTTAGAACCATTTTACATTAAATAACTCGGTTTAGCACGTCTCAAAGCACATTGATTACATCAGTGTAGACTATAATCTCCGTGAGTGCCTGCTTAGGTTTAAAAATAATCAGAGGGATGGTTTTTCCCATCCACCCAGAGTCAAGGTTGAGGTGGGCAAGTGTTCTTACTGCCTTCCTTGGCACATCAGACTTATTTTTAATTCCTTATGCATGAGGTTGGACTCCTTTGACATTCACATTGACTTTTTATTAGATAATATGCTTCTGTGAACAAAATGTCCACTGGAAAATCTGTTACTTATTGTTTGGTTACCTTCTCTTTTTTTCATTCAGTTTATTGGTACATTTTAGGTACATAATACAGTTACATTCATCATTGGGATCTTGTACCTTTACATGATGTATGGACTCCTGTGAAATATCCCAGATTTATGTAGGGTCCCCCATACAATTTCCCATCCTGAATAAAGCCATTAAATCAGACATCCAACATGTCCAAAATTTGGAGCCAATCTTCCCAAGGCTCTGGCTCCTCCAGCTTCTACTTTGGGAGTTAAATAGTCCTTCTGTCGTGGCAACTCAGCAATGCATTTCAAAGCACTTTCTATATTTCTAATATTTTGGTTGTTTCCAGCTAGAAGTGGAAGTCTTTATATGATTATATAGCTGTTTGCAATTGTATTTATAGCATTTCAGCTATATAGACTTACTGTAACTTTATTCTAGTTGCATTAGGTAAAACTTTGATATCTGCTGGATACTTTAATTTTTCAACTATTCTACAGGAATAAGTGGCATTACTTTTTGACACTTGTCTTTTAAAACTAAAAAAAAAAATCTATTAGTGAGCCATTAATATAGATGTAAATATAATCTGGTGTTACCTTAACTTAAATTTTTCATTGCATTATGTAGAATAGCAGAATTTTTCAAAACCTGTCAGAACAGAACCACAGAAAACAAAGACTCAGTTATATCTGCACCCCATCTATGTAAAGGGATTACTTATACTGAAAATATTAGAAAAATTTGAATTGTTACACAAGTATAAAAAATGGTAAAATGTAAACATGTTTTCTTTTAAACAAAAAACTCCTTACAGGAAAATTGTGCTTAAAGTATTATTAGAAAACCAAATCATTTTCAAGCTTGCAATAATTCACAATTTTCAGAAACCCTTCAAAAATGCTGAGTCTCTTTTCTCATGATCCCTTTTTTGGGTAAAGGAAATGATCACCCCTCTTGAAAAATCTGGCCTCATGTGAGTCGTTTCCTTCAAGTAGTGACACATATAATTGTGGTCAGTGAAAACAAGCAGCCTCCCTAATTGACAGCCTTGCTTCTCCCAGTACGTGCGAGTATCTTTTGATACGAAACCTGATCTCCTCCTACACCTGATGACCAAGGAATGGCAGTTGGAGCTCCCCAAGCTTCTCATCTCTGTCCACGGCGGCCTGCAGAACTTTGAACTCCAGCCCAAACTCAAGCAAGTCTTTGGGAAAGGGCTCATCAAAGCAGCAATGACAACTGGAGCATGGATATTCACAGGAGGAGTGAACACAGGTAACTGGAAAAAGGCAACAAAGGGCCCTGAGAATGCCCTGTGTTTTGCCTAAGATGACTTTCTCCTAACAGTGAATATGCTTCTGTCTCCCCACATTACCCAGCCCACACATGCTCACACTCACACCCTGTCCTCTCCCAGCCCCCATTACCTAAAGGATAACCCACAGTTATTTCCTGACTAAGAATTATTACAGATAAGCAATGGGTTTGGATAGTTAGTGGTTGACTTCATAGTAATTTGTAAGCACGACTAATGCAATTTCACAGTACTTTCAGTAGTTCAAGTTGTTATATAAACTTTTAATTATTTGTTTTTGTAGTGCTAGGCAAGTGCTTTACCATTGAGCTACGCCTCAGCCTCTAATAATTGTTCAAAGAATTACTTTTACTTTAAATTAGAAACTGTGTCTCTGTTCTTTAAGTGATTTCGAGTTTAATTCCAAATATCTTCAATTTTTGTAAATGGCATTTCCATATGGGACATAAATTGTGATACAAAGTCTGGGGGATTTGTGTTCTGAGATAGATAAATGAATGGAGTGATTTTTTCACAGTACTGGGGGTTGAACCAAGGGCCTTTGCACCGTGTTGTCCTACATTCTCCATCCTCTCTTTCCCTCTCAGACAGGGTCTTGCTAAGTTGCCCAAGCTGGGCTCAAACTTATGATCCCCCTAACTCAGCACGCCAGAGTGCTGAGATTACAGGCATGTGATACCACACCCCGATAATATGTTTATTATTTAAAATATTTCATTAAACCACATCTGCACCAATAGAAGACACTCCTTGCACTGAATTTCAAACAGTTTTTTTCTACCTGGGAAGTCAGTCTCTATATTGTGTTACAAGCACACTGTCAAATCAGTTCTTAGGAACACACAGTTAAGTGCTTATCTGCAAAACATTACTGATGTGCAACAGATAATGGATTGGATGCTGGTCAATTTTGTTGCTCTATTTTCCAGCCTGAGCCAAAAATGTCAGCTTCAAGTGCACAAGTGATGCTGTAGTAAGTTAATGCAAAGTTGTGACAAGGCTCAAAGTCTATACATTTGGGTACATTTGGAGTCAGTGGGACATTCTGAACATAATTCTGGACCAACTAGTTTTCAACAAAATTATCTCAGTGTTGTTTTCAGTTTGGATGATGTTTGAATGAGACACTGCAAAACCTCTTACATACCTAGAATTTATGAGTTGTGAGCACACAGCTGAGCACACTGGAGCAGTGAACTCTTCAGGGTGAACATGCTCAACACTGTTCTGGGCAATCCTGACTCAGTTCATAAACTCACACGATCTCAGAGTGACCTGCTCAGTCAGCTCTTTACTCTCTATCTGGTAGGAATCAGGTGTCCAAAGAGCAATTTTCTCTCAATTACTCTTCAGGTTTTAGGCTCCACATTTGATGCTTCTCTATGATTATTCAATCTTTTGCTCTCCTGACATATAGAAACTAACCCCAGGGGTTTAAAAGTTCAAAAGAAATTCTTAGCATTCTTTTATTTTTAGGAAGCTGGACTAGTGCTTATTATCTTCTTTTAGGAAATGTATTTATATCAAAAGAATTTATACCTTCAATATCATAAAGTAAAATTGATCTCTGCATCTCTTCAGGCTTAGTATCCATTCTGCTGCCCAACATAGGTTTAATGATGGATGCTGAAGCTAGGTGTGAGAGAAATGTGGCAGACAGAGGCTGTACCCAGAAGTTGAACTTGTTGTCTAGGGCTGGCCCTAATATGAGTTTTATATATATCCACAGATTTACTTATTTTGTATGTTTTTAGCAGTATTATCACTTAGAAAATCCTGAGACAAGCTAACAAGTAAAAATGATCTACCAATATTCTCAGCACAGTTCATTGTAGGATTAGCGATCATTTCTACTATTTTGTTGAATTTTTAAAAGGAAGTGTTTTCTCTGATCTTATGGTGATTAGAGAATTGAGTTTTGAAACATGTTCTTACTCATATTAAATTGCCTGGTGTGTTCTGTGTGTTTACTTAGTTTAGTTAGTTTAGTGAATGGTTTCTGAGCCCTTCCTCTTGGGCTGCCCATTGTGCCCCAAAAAGTTCAAAAACACCCCAACCCTCCAGCCTTCCCTTCCAGGAGTTGTATTATTAGAAGAGAATACACTGTGAAATATGGTAGGTGATGCACTGCACTGCTCAGGATATGCAAACTAGATATGTTTAAATGGTTAAGAAACGAAATCCACCTCAATGTTCATAGAGGGGATGGTACTGGGTATGAATTTTTCCTTGAGTAATGGGCAGAATTTTGACAAATGGTGACAACTTTTCTTAGACAATGTATCTTTCAAGTTTCCTATACCAATGTTCACTTGAGGGGAAAGTTAAACATTAGAAATTACATCTTTTATAAATGGCCCACAAAAAGGAAGTACATTCCCTACCACCATGTAAACTGAATTTCTTCATTTGTAACTATGATGGGCAGGCGCAACACTACTGAGCAAGGGCTGAAGATATGTAGCTCAGTGGTACCACACCTGCCTGGCAAGTGCAAGGTCCTGAGTTCAATCCCTGGTTCCAAAAAAACAAACAAAAAAACAATGATGGGAAAGGACATTATGATAGTAGAGGAAAACAATTAAAATAATGAAGATTAAAAAACAACTTACATATTTTTAACAAATTTTTCACAAAATAAGCCATTATTTTCTTACAATCAGGCTTTCCATATTACATAGTGCAAATAGGAAGATGAATTTAAGGTTAATAAAATCTGAGCTAAGTAACTATTTAAATGACCTTGACCACTACATAAACTGTAGTGTAGATTTAATATCATATTATGCATGGTATTTTTTGCCAGGACACAGTCAAGGTATTGATTCGTAAATATACAAATAGATGACTATGCTAGTAAGAAAAAGCTTCTCAAAATTTAAAGAATCATATTCTTTTCATGGACATTAAATGCTTTTTATTTTTTCATATAAATTAGAACAAAAAATCCATTGCTAGACTTTTTTATCAGTCAGCAAACATATCTGGATATACAGCCACAATTTAATGTTCTCTTCTAAACTGTGTAGTTTGTATAGAAATGTGTCAAAACTGTACATTTCAATGCATTTAACCCTGGGAGAAATTTACTACAATTCTCTTTAGAATGATGGAGAGGTCACTGGGTTAGAAGACAAGATTAATACTTTTCTCCTTGCTTGTAGGTGTCATTCGCCATGTTGGAGATGCCTTGAAGGACCATGCATCTAAGTCTCGAGGGAAGATATGCACCATAGGTATTGCCCCCTGGGGGATTGTGGAAAACCAAGAGGACCTGATTGGAAGAGATGTAAGTCCTGGGGGCTGCCCCTCTACCACAGCAGTGAAGTTAGTATTCATATGGTACACAGTATAGTACTTGTCTGGTCCCCACCCCATTCACTGAAATTTATGTTAGGAATTACTTACAGGATGAATACTTCTTTCCCAAAATCTAGGTAAAGTCCATGTCAATTTTTTCAGTCTAGAAAGGTCAAGAGAAAAACTTCTCTTCTTGAATCAAGCAGTGATCTTTCTTTGTCTATTAAATCTGGAAGTACTCGGTACGGCTGTATTAAATTTAATTTATACCAAGTAATATTTGACAATATAAACTGACTGATACAGAAATGAAGACTCCTCTCACCATGGGCTCAAGATTATTATTCAAGTGTCCTTCACCCAACTCAGAAGAGCTGCAGAAAGATTTTTCCCATTTCATTTTACAGCATTCCTACTTAGTCCTTCTTCACTAAGTGCTTGTGTAAGGTGTAGGCACAATTGTATTATTTCCTACTGCAAAACACCTTGGCTAAATATAGAAAATGGCCAGTCTGCTTCCTGTTCTGCTGGTCAGAGCCACACTGTGACCAATCAGTTGCCGATTTTGCCAGAAATCCAGAGCACTTGATTCCAATACCTTATTTCTGTTCCTTTCACAGACCTCTTTACCAAAAACCAAACAAACAAATAAACAAACAAACAAAATGGATAGATGGAGGGGAGGCTCTACCAGCTGCCTTCCTTAAGGGAATTTTCTGTCCCACTAGCCACCAAATATTTCCCTTACATATGCAAACAGATTACTATGCTTTTAAGTGAATGTTAATTTTAAACTAGAAGTTTATTTCCTAGAGAATCAGAATATGCTAAAATTACCTCAGCACCAAAAGAATTTAATAGTGCATTTTGTTAACATGTAATTATTTATAATGTTATGGTTCAGAAATTATTTCAAAATGTCCATAGCTTTAGGATCTTTATTGTAAATTCTGTTTAGTATTCAACTGGACCATGGGTATTTTAGAACCTTCTTAGGAAGATAAACTAAGTAAATGTCATATGGTTGTTTCTGCATCCAAGATAGAGTAATGAAATGATAACCTTGGTTGTGTAAGCATTTGTACAAAGTGCTGCCCTTCCACATCATGTTAGCTTGTTCTTCCTGTGAATCTCATATGATTGCATATTACATTTGCTTGGCTTCCTGTGATGAAAAAAAGGATGTCCTCATTCTTTTATGACCTGCCAAGTCAGTGGGTCTAACTTCACCATTGTACACATTGTAGTCAAAGAAGGAATAAAGAGGCTACTTGCAGGTAACCAACTGGAAATAAAGCCAACATTGCAAAACAAACTGATACCCCAAAACACAATTTCAGGAGAAACCTGCTTACTAAGAAGGCCATCATATATGAAAATGGTAGAGATACTTAATCCAATAGGTACGCAAATCTCAATGTAGACAAAAAAATATGATAAAAACAAGGTAATATTATACTTCCAAGAGAACATGAGGAGTGATCAAAAGTATAGAGAATATTAATTTTTTTCATTTATTACAGTAAAAAACTCAATGCCATTAGTCCCCCTCAAATACTCCCAACACACCTACCCCATTGTTCTTGGCTCTTTCTGAAGCAGTTCTGGAATTCCTCTTTCATGAGTCTCTTTAAGAGGTATGATCAAAAATTTGGCAATTGCTGCTGCTCAGAACCATCCAATGGAAAAGCCAGCTCATAAAAACATTATGGTGAGCCCTCATCCACCTTATTCACTGGATCTGGCACCATGAAACTTTTGGGTCTTCTTCAAAGGAAAAATGACCATGAAAGGAAAATTTTTTGAATAGATTTAGGACATTAAGGAAGTCACGATAGCACAACTATAGATACTCAAGGAAGAAGACTTCCAGAAGTACTTCAGAAAGTGGCAAGAACTTTCTTGATGGGATAAATGTGTTTGAAGCAAGAGGGAGTATTTTAAGGGAAATTAATGGCAATGTGTCTTTTACTGTAACAATTTTTTTTATTTAAACACATATGATATTTTTTAATCAACCCTTGTAAGTTACTTTTGCAACCAAGCTCAAAGAAATCAATATGGATGAAATACCTGATAAAGAATTTTAAAGTGACTATTAAAAAGCTCAATGAGATCCAAGAGAATATAAACTATTAATACAGGATATGAATAAGGAAATCAGCAATGAGACAGCTTTTAGGAAAAAACAAATAGAAATCTTGGAAATGAAGAGTTTAATAAGTCAAATGAAAAGCAGACCAGAAAACCTCAATAGACTAGATCAAACAGAAAAAGGAATATCTGAACTTGAAGACAGGTCTTTTCAAATATCCCATTCAGATAAAAAATAAATAAATATGAAGAAAGCATTCATTTCTTTAGGACATTATCAAATGAACAGATATCTGCAATTTCAGAATACCCAATGATAAGGAGAAAAATTAATGGTGTAAAAAACTATTCAATGAAGTAACAGCAGGAAACTTCCCTAATCTTGAGAAAGATATGGACATCTGTACAGAAAGCTTTCAGGACCCCAAGCAGACATGGCCAGAAAAGAGCTTCGTCACAGCATACTTTTTTATGCTTAAATTCTTTTATTGGCACATTTTAGGTATACAATACATTTACATTTATCATTGGGTGCCTGTACCTGTACATGATGTATCTTGGTTCTTATTTTTCCCCATTACCTGTGTGCCCTTCACCCCCTCCACCCTTCCCTATTTACATAGATGTGTTTCCATTTTTTTCTTTTCTCATAATTTTTCCTTTCCCTTCTTTCCTTTCCCCTTCCCCTCCCACTTCCCCTACCGCTTTGGACCTTTACTTCCTATTTCAAATTATCAATTATTCGTTTCAATCATTTTAGTCCTTATTTACACTTTCAGTTTCTCACATTAGAGAAACTATTTGGTATTTACATGTGTGTGTCCTATTTATTTCACTTAAGAGTATGGCCTCAATGTGCATCCATTTAGCTATAAATGTTTCTAGTTTCTTGTTCTTTATGGCTGCATATTTTAGATAAATTGTCAAGCAAAATAGACAACCCTTTAGCTACACTAACCAAAAGCAGAGAAGACCCAAATAGACACGACAACTGATTCCACAGAAATAGAAACAAACCAACTGAAAAACTAGGAGACATGGACAAACTCCTGGACATATCTTAAACCATGAGGACATAAAACATCTGAATAGATTAATAAAAGTAAAGAGAGTGCATCAGTAATTAAAAGTCCCCCAACAAAGAAAAGCCCAGAAACAGATGGCTTCACTGCTGAATTTTACCAAACTTTTTTCTTGTGGTACTGGGAATTGAACCTAGGGCCTTTATATTGAGCTAGATCCCCTGGCCTGTTTTATTTTTGGACAAGATCTTGCTAATTTGCCAAACTAACCAGGCTGGGCTTGAACTTATGATCTTCCTGCCTCTGCTTCCAGAGTACTGGGATTATAGGAATGCACCACGAATTGTACCAAACTTTTCAAGAAATAATGAAGGCCATTCATCCTGCCACATGCCAGTAATCTCAGCTACTTGGGAGACTGAGGCAGGATTGCAAGCTTGAGGCTAGCATGGGCAACTTAGTAAGACCTTGTCTCAAAACTTTAAAAAGAACTGTTGATGTAGCTAAGCAGTAGAGCATTGTCCTAGCACACACAAGGCTCTGGTTCAATCCCCAGTAGAAAAGAAAGAAAAGGAAGGGAGAAAGGAAAGAAAAAAAAGAATAGTGCTAATTCTTCTCAAACTATTACAAATAATTATAAAGGAAGGGAACCTTTCCAAACTCCCTGTTACCAAAAGAAGACAAAGAAATAAAAAAAGAAAACTATAGACCAATATCCCTGATGAACGCGTATGTAAAAATTCTCAAAACAAATTCTCAAACAAAATACTAGCAAACTGAATCCAACATCACACCAAAAAAGATCATCCACCAAGATTAAGTTGACTTTATTACTGGGATAGAAAGATGGTTTAAAATATTCAAATGAATAAACATATCATATCAATGGAATACAAATCATATGATATTAATAGATATAGAAAAAGCTTTTGATCGTTTAACATCGCTTTATGATAAACGAGGTGTAGAAGTATCATAACTCAACACAGGCAAGGCTGTATATGACAAACCCAAAGCCAACATCATACTGAATAGGGAAAAGCTGAAAGCACTCCTGTAAGATCAGGAACAGGAAAAGCATGTCTACTCTCCCCACTCTTACTCAGTATAATACTAGAGGTTTTAGCCAGAACAATTAGGCAAGAGAAAGAAATAAATGGACACAAACATGAAGGGAGGAAGTTAAACTATCCCTGTTTGCAGATGCTATGATTCTCTATATAGAAAAACTTAAACTCTCTAGAAAACTTTACTAGAATTGACAAATGAATTCAGTAAAGTAGCTGGATACAAAAATAAGTAGCTTTTATGTATACCAATAATGAATTTATTGAGAAAGAAAGAAATGAAAGCAGTTCCATTCACAATATCAGGAGGGAGGAAGGAAGGGAGGGAGTGAGGAAGGAAAGAACAGAAAGATTTATACAATAAAAATTATAAAACACTGATGAAAGAAACTGAACAAGACAAAAAGATGGAAATGCCTCCCATGTTCATGGATTGGAAAAATTAATATTGTTTAAATGTCCTGAATTCCCAATGTTATCTAAAGATTCAGTGTAAATTCTGATCAAAATATGAAGGACATTCCTTACAGAACTTGCAAAAACAATCCTAAAATTCATTTGAAATCACTAAAGACACTGAATGGCCAAAGCAGTCCTGAGGAAAAAGAACAAAGCTAGAGCCATTACAGTACTTGATTTCAAGACTTACTACAGGGCTAAATAACAAAAACAGCATGGCATTGGCATAAAACCAGGCACATAGACCAATGGAACAGACTAGAGATTCCAAATGTAAACCCACAGCCTCTGTCACCAAAGATGCCAAAAACACATGGAGGAATGACAACCTCTTCAAAAAATGGTAC